ATGACTTTAAATTTTATATAAAATATATTATATATTATATTATTTAATTGATTTAATTGATTTTGGACATAAAATATTTGATCTATTAATCTGTACATTTTGAATGTACATTATCTTTTACCACATTTTATGCTTTTAAACAAACATATTAAATATTTATTTTTTTCTTGATNTTTACCACATTTTATGCTTTTAAACAAACATATTAAATATTTATTTTTTTCTTGATTTTTTTTTAAAGAAACTCAAAGGTGTACGTTTGGAAAATCTGCCATGCGTCAACAATTTCTTTTCATTGTTTTTTGGCAGTGATGGTCATTATAATAGAATTTTTGGACAAAGGAAAGCCTCCATGAAAAATATGCAAAATGCCTCGTTATGCCCTTCCACACTTAGTATTGGTCATCTGATAAGGCATGACGACCGAATCAAACGACCAGCCACTGCGTTCAGCTGGGCTTCTGTACACCATTTCGAGCGCCCAAAATCGGTGTTCGTGTAATAGTTTATCTTGTAATCATGGCGTCGTCGCTCAATCGGCGGCTGCCGCTAGCATGAACCAAGAGCCTAATAATTACTGCAATTTGTCAGAATATAATCAAATTGCATCCACTGAGTTTAACAAATTAAATAACGTTTCAAGTTCTACTGTTGTGGCTAAAATTTCAAGTAGTATAGTTTCTACTCCAGCTGCTTATGTATCTTCTATTACTGTACCAAGTGGATGGAAGCGAATTAGCAATAGTGGAGAAATTTGTTATATAAGGTTAGTTTAAATAATACATATTTTATTGTGGAAAGCCATAGATATAAAAACTTTAAATTAAAATGTAGCAAGTGCTAAAAAGTTGATTATTTTGTGTTATTCACAACTTTCTAAATTTCAAAAATCCTAATGTATAGCTTAAATAAAATTTTATCAATGTTTTAAACATTTTAATAGGGACTCTCACGGTTTCTAATACTAAACTCCAAATCTTTATATGGAGATTTATTAGTTAGTTTTATTTAAGAAACTGAAGGGTTCAGATACTATTGGTCTTAACCCCTAAGAGATTTTTTTGTAATAAACTCAACTTTTAGTATATAGAAGGTTATTTATTTTAATTTTCCATTTACATTTTGTATTTTTACACATAATTAATTTTAAATTTTAGAGTTAGATTAGAAAGGAATAGTATTAATAATTATAATTGTTGTTGAAAAGGTCCATAGTAATATCTGTAGTAAATTATATTTTTCATACTACAATTATTATTTTTTAATTGTAAACATGTTATGTTGAACAATTTTTCTCATTTTCTTTTGAACAATACTATATTTTTGATATTATGATTATAACTGATTAATTTAAAACGTTGCAAAAAATGTCTTCTTGTCTGAAAAGTTAAAAAAAAAATTTTGCCTTTTTTAAAAATGACTATTATTTTATTTCGATTAAACTTCATAATCATAAAAATTGCATTTTAAATTCGATTTATTTTGTAGTTGAAATATTATCTCATTGTTTATACTTTATTTTATTATTAACTAAACAGTATGATTTTAGTAAAATGGTTAAAGACTTAACTAAATAACAAATAAATCATGATATTTAAAGAGCTACAAAAGGATTGACATTTTTTATCGTCCTAATTTTCCAGAAATTGCAATGGTGTCACGATTAGTTACGCCTTTGACAAAATCCTTTAAAATGAACCCGAACTACCCTGGTGAGTTTTCGGTAGGCTTTATTAAGAATACCGCCACTAAGTCGGACAAAAATCTGACCTATAATAATATATTACGCCATAGGGTGTCTAAATTATTATACGGGTTGCGTCTTTTCCACTGAAATACACCAGTTTTGTAGAATACAATGAAAAAACACCTGGGTTATTGTCCTTTTTGGAGGTTCTTTTACCCTCAAAATTAGACCCTAACGTTGTAAATTATCCAGTTATGTATGTAACTCGTGTAAAAAAAAATATGTGACTACTATAGAAGCAAAATGTGAAGTAACAGCTACAAGTTAAGCATTAATTAATGCGAGGTTTAAACACTGAATAATTTGTTATCAATTCGAATCTCCTAGCAAAAAATTTACGTTTAGCTATTTTTATGAACAAAATAAATTTATAAAGCGTAGGTGTTTTTTTTAATTGTAATTTCATGTTATACAACAGGTCAAAAATTACATATAATTAACCATAATTTTAATAGCTATAGTTATTAAAAATTGTTAATATAGTAAACATTTTCCAGACTAAAGAAAATTTCTATAAATAAAAATTTAGTTCAAAATTTAATATTACAGTTTGCAATGAGATGAAATTACATATGAAAAAAAACATAACTAAATATTCAAGATGTTTTGAAAGGTATTATATAAAAAAAATTGTACACCTTCAATAACCTTATACAATGAAAATTTAACTTCCGTAGACCTTGTAGAAGGTTTATTGCCCTATCCCAAGGTTTACCTTAGTATAAAGTCTTGTTTTTTGCTACTTCTTATACAATAATCTATTTTTCATTTACGTATTAGTAATATTAATAAAATTATTACTATTTGTTAATTATGTAAAAAAACAAGATATATTTAATTCTTCGATATTTATTTATTTATTTTAAGTATCGATTTATTTAATTTGGAATTCATTGAAACAGAACTTTCCAAAAATTCAAGTTTAAATAAAAACTTCTTACATGTCATTTTTATCAATATATTGATGCCAATAATCCTAGACTCTTTTTTTCCTTAAAAAACTAGTGTCTTCTAAACTCATTTTCATATACACCAACCATTGCGTGAATATTCGTAAAAATGTCATTATGAATGTTTGTAAAAAAAAAACGACCATTTTTTTATTTTAAACTTTATCTTGTGAAATTCATTGTTTTAAAGCTATGATTTAACTCTCAAACGGTCAATGAAAAAAAGGTGAATTAATTTTATAATGTAGCTTATAATTGGTTTTTTGACAAAAAAATGAATATTTTATTAGGTGGTCGAGGGTTAAAGACAATCATTAGAAAAGTAAATAAACATATTTCAAGTATAAAATATTATACGACACTCTACGATTTCCTCGGATACTAGTTTGCTTATAAATATTAATTAAGTTTGTTAATAGCGAATGAGTTAATTGCC